GACAGAACCTGGCTACAGAACTTGGCTGGAGAACCTGGAGAACCTAGAGACAGAACCTGGCTACAGAACTTGGCTGGAGAACCTGGAGAACCTAGAGACAGAACCTGGCTACAGAACTTGGCTGGAGAACCTGGAGAACCTAGAGACAGAACCTGGCTACAGAACTTGGCTGGAGAACCTGGAGAACCTAGAGACAGAACCTGGCTACAGAACTTGGCTGGAGAACCTGGAGAACCTAGAGACAGAACCTGGCTACAGAACTTGGCTGGAGAACCTGGAGAACCTAGAGACAGAACCTGGCTACAGAACTTGGCTGGAGAACCTGGAGAACCTAGAGACAGAACCTGGCTACAGAACTTGGCTGGAGAACCTGGAGAACCTAGAGACAGAACCTGGCTACAGAACTTGGCTGGAGAACCTGGAGAACCTAGAGACAGAACCTGGCTACAGAACTTGGCTGGAGAACCTGGAGAACCTAGAGACAGAACCTGGCTACAGAACTTGGCTGGAGAACCTGGAGAACCTAGAGACAGAACCTGGCTACAGAACTTGGCTGGAGAACCTGGAGAACCTAGAGACAGAACCTGGCTACAGAACTTGGCTGGAGAACCTGGAGAACCTAGAGACAGAACCTGGCTACAGAACTTGGCTGGAGAACCTGGAGAACCTAGAGACAGAACCTGGCTACAGAACTTGGCTGGAGAACCTGGAGAACCTAGAGACAGAACCTGGCTACAGAACTTGGCTGGAGAACCTGGAGAACCTAGAGACAGAACCTGGCTACAGAACTTGGCTGGAGAACCTGGAGAACCTAGAGACAGAACCTGGCTACAGAACTTGGCTGGAGAACCTGGAGAACCTAGAGACAGAACCTGGCTACAGAACTTGGCTGGAGAACCTAGACAGAACATGGCTACAGAACCTGGCGACTGAACCTGGCAAGAGAACCTAGACAGAACTTGGCTGGAGATCCTGGAGGGAGAACCTCGCTATGCTGATCAACTGAACGCTGACCCCGTGTCATTCCTTCTTCGCCGACTCCGTCCACACCTTTGGGGACCCCTGGACCTGCTGGGGTTGGACCCCAGCACTGAGTAAGGTCATCTCCTATTAACGTGGGCATTCCCTGCCATGTGCCCAGTGCCCATCACCTGATATCTGGACCCCTCATACATGCTTGCTTCATTGATTTATGTTACCTGCTTGGCCCCAAAGAACATCTGCATTTGATGCCTGTTACAGGATGTTAGACCAAAGCATCTTTCACCTTTTTTTTTTTAAGTTTAGTTTTTAGAGAGAGGAGGGGAGGGAGAGACAGAGACATCAATGTGAGAAACATTGGTTGGTTACCTCTCCCACGTGCCCCAACTGGGGATCTAACCTGTAACCTGGGTATGTGCCCTGCCCGAATCAAACCTGCTACCTTTGGTGTACAGAACAATGCTCCAACCGACTGAACCACACTGGCCAGGGCGACCAAAACATCTTTCAAAACTCATACTTTTCATACTACAAGCTCCAAATCTCAGAACCTGACATTTATCCACTGAAACTTTCATATCTACTATAGCTTAACATTATTGAATCTCAGAATCATCAAAGCTGAAATGCACAGCTCATTAAAACAACATGGATGGTTTTTTATTTCCTGGGACAGCCATGTGTAAGCCCTCCTCTGCCCTGAGACGGGGCTTGCTTTCTAAGCATAGATGTAGAGAATTACCCATTTGTCAGCAAAAATTCCTAAGAATCAGGAGAGCCTGGGAATCAAGAGACCCAGTCTGCTGCCAGTGGGCTCATTCTGTTCCTAGGGGCCCAGCCAGAGTGTGAAACCAAGCTAGAAATTCCAAAGAGGATTTAATACAGGGAATTGGTCACACAGGTGTTACAAGGCTGGAAGTGAAAACGTGAAAAAGTGAGATAACCCAGAAATGTGTTTGCAGGAAGCTCCCACCTCTGGGACTGGGATACAGAAAGAGCAGTGAGATGACCAGAACCCAATAGGTGCTTGAAGGGCAGGCCACATGCGCTGGTGCAGGGACCACTGACAGGTGCCATGTGCTGGTGCTTAAACCTCAAGAGGGGCACAGCGCCTTGTGTGCGTATAGACAGGTACTGGAGCCTGACTGCTGCTGGAGGGGTTCCAGCAAGAGTCCAAAGCAAGTCCTTTCCCCTTCTTCCTACCTTCCTTCTGCCCATCTCTCTCATGGCAGAACTTAAGGAAGCCAGCTCTCTAAGGCAGGCTGCAGGCCAAGAGACACTAGGCAAACACATTGTCAAGTATTTTTTAATTCTCTTGGGTAAGCACTGTCCTAAGTGTAGGGATGAAGCAATTGCCCTCAGGAGCTTGGATTCCAATACAAGGACACAGATAATGAAATAAACAAGTGTGATAATTTCAGGTGTTGAAAAGCGGTGGGAAGAAATTAAAGTAAGGGTTGGAAGTGCTACTTTAGCCAGTCAGGTCAAGGAAGACCTCTCTGAGGAGGTGGCACATGTTGAAACCAGAATAACAAGGAGGTAGCTTTGCAAAGTTCTGGGTAAGAGCACTTCAGGCAGAGGGAACAGCGAGTGCAAAGGCCCTGAGGCAGAAGCCAAGCTGGCTTGTGTGGCTGGAGAGAGGTGAAGAGGAAAGAGTGATGGAGCTGAGATTGCTTAGTGGGCTGGGACTCAGTTATTGTTGGGTTCTGTGGGCCTGGGGAAGGTCTTTGCAAGTATTTATGGGATGCCTTTGGAGGGTTTTAAATGAGAAGTGGCATAAGCTGATTAACATGCACAGGAGTGGTCTGTAATAGAGACTGGAAGGGGGGAGTCATAGCAAGGGGATCCGTTAAGAGAGTAGGGCTGGGGGAAAGTAATCAGATTCTTCAGGAATTTAGAAGTAGAGTGCAGGGTTTACTAATACAATGGCAGTTATGGTGGAGGTAGGGGACTGCAGGGGACCCACTTTAAGTTTGCAACTCCCATTTGTCGTCCAGGTGGCTGTATCTCATGGAGAGAAGTCTGGGGTTTGGGCTGAAGATAGATTTGGGAGTCACCAGTGACACTATATAAAGTCTTAGGAACCTATGACATCTGGAGAGTATAGAGAGAACAGAAGCCAAGGGTATACTTGGGCAGGCAGCTGTCTCAGGAGAGCATGTGGGATTAAATCCTTAGGTTTGTCAGGGGTGTGTGTAGGGCTGCTGGAGAGGGGTGGGGGGTATGAAACACCTGGGTCAGAAACTTCTGGGCTCTTACCATATGCCAGAGGAAATGTTTGGCCTTGTTAAAGTTGATATCTTAGAAAACATTGATGGCCAAATGACTACAAACCAGTTTCTCCATAAGTCACTCCAAAAAAGAGATACAGGCTAGCTAGCCCTGCCCCAAATCCTACACACACAAACATCCCTGTTACAGGTAGTATTTCCCAGGGCGGAAACCCTGCATCCAGGCACAGAGCAGGTTGTATGTCTATTAGAGAAGGGGTTGGTAGACTTTTACTGTAATGGACTATATGGTAACTATTTTAGGCTTTATAATCTCTGTTGCAGCTCCTCGAATCTGCTGTCCTATGTGAAAACAACCATACACAATAGGTAAATGAACAAGCATGACTGTGTTCCAATAAAACTTTATTTGCAAAATCAGGAGGTAAGCTGGATTTGGCCATAGTTTGCAGACACCTGCCTTAGGCTAAACATTTTGCTGCATGTGACAAGAGACCCAAGCTAATGGCAGCTTAAGCAAGATAGAGGCTTATTTCTCTCTTATATAACAGTAGGGAAGTGGGTGTTCTCCGGCTGATACGATGGCACTGCTGCATGAAGTTGCTCTGCCATCCCACCTGTTGCTCTCATGGTCCAAAATGACTGGATACTATGTCCACATTCCAGGCAGAAGGTGGAAGAAAGGCATGTCCCTTTCTGAAGCTTGAGGACTCTACCCAGGAATTTAGCCAGAACTTAGTCACATGGCCACAGCTAGCTGCAAGAGAACCTGGGAAATGTGGTCTTTGTAGCCATCATGTGCCTAGCTAAAAATTGGGAGACAGCTATCAGTCACTACCACATCCATCCCACCTGTGGGCTTTAAAAACATCCCTCAATTTAAATGAATCTATGATTATTGTATACAGGGCATCAACCATTGTGTCTAGGGGCAGGGCAGGTAATGCAAGGAGTTAAATTGGCCACTCAGCTGAGGATGGGCTTTTCAAGAGCTGAAAATAGGATCTTAATGGGAAATCTCCCAATGTTGGCCAAATACAACAGGAAGCAGAAGGTATCTCTGTTTGATTCCAAACCAGTTTCCTCATAGGGCTATGGCCTGAGATCCCCCTCCTCATGCCCTTCTTATGTACTCTGGGGATTTCTGCTGAAAAACCAGAGTTCCTTGTTTAGCTATCTTAATGTAGAGCTTTTCTGTTTTTAGATATTATTTCTGTTAGTTTATTCATGTCACCTAACATATACAAAATATCCCATGACCAAAATGGTGCATAAAATAAATTATCTGGGATGGGAGGACAAAGCCACCCAATGCCATGGCCCCTCGAGTGGGAAAGGCTGGGAGAGGGTGGGGAGAAGACAGTTTTGAACTGCACCCCTACATTACTCAGTACAGCTCCTAACTTTGCTGCCCATCCCCAAAGGCTGGAGCTGCTCCATGTCTGGGACCCATCTGGTGGCTTCACAGGCCAGCAACACTCACCTTCCCGGCGCCCAGTCAGGCACAAAGCCAGGGCAATTTGCTCCTACAGCCCATGGCATCCATCTGGGAAGAATTAAAGGTGATTACACAACCTACAGCTGCTTGTGATTTCAAACTACTTAAGTGGGAATGAGGGAGATAAAAATAATTTTCCCTCTTACATATATTTTTTAACAAAAGATCTCACGATTGTCTGATTTCACCGAAGGCCTTTCTGTCCTCCAAGGACTGAAGCTCTAAAGAGCATATTCTGGGTTCTATTTATCAGGAGCCTTTCCAGCAAATTCCTCCAAGGGCCCATTCCATTATTAAAGGTAGGTCCCACCAGCCACAGAGCCCCCTTTGCCCTGGGGAGGGCTGAAGCTGCACCCAAAGGTCCCCACGGGCATGCCAGATGTAGTGTTGATGCAGCCCAGCTTCCTGGGCAAAGTCCTGCCCACATTCAGTGCAGGCAAAGGGGCCAGGAGGGAAGCGAGCTTCATGCACCTGGCGGTGCCACCTCAGAGAAGCGGCCTGCCCAAGGGTCTTGCCACAATCAGGGCAGGGGAAGGTGGTCTGGGCAGTGGTGGGTGCAACCGTCAGGGAGGGTCTGGTAGCAGGACTGTGGCTGCGCTGGTGGGCGATCAGGGCCTTGGAGGAGAGGAAGGAGCGGGCCCAGGTGAAGCAGATGAAGAGCGCCCCCTGCAGCTTCTGGGCCACGAAGTCGGCTGGGTGCTCCCGCTTCATGTGGCGCTGCTGGAACTTGGAATTGGCAAAGGTGATGATGAGGCAGCGGGTGCACTGCAGGGCCCCCAGATGGCCTGAGGGACGTGGGGAGAGGGCGGGGGAGGCCAGCAAGAGTCTCCAGGACTTCTCCCACGCCCCAGCATCATGCCAACAATGAACATTCAGTGCTTACTATGTGCCAGGGCTGGACAGCAGTCCAGGCAAATTATTATTGGACCTGTTTTGTGGATAAGCAGACTGAGGCTCAGAAAAGTTAGGTAACTTGCCCACAGTCATGAGGTTAGGAAATGAAATGGAGTTAGGACTGGAACCCAGGGAGGCTGTCCTTCCAATACAGCTGTGTGATCAGAGCACAGCCTCTGGAGATGGGCTGGTTCTACCATTTCCCAGGCAGGTACAATAGTTTCCTCATCTGGAAAATGGGGTCATACCCCCGTCAGTATTTACCTGATAGGGCTGTTGTAAGCAATACATGAAGGAATTTACACAAAGTGCTTAGAACTCTCTACACAGTGGTTTGTAATTATTACTGTTAGGAGAAAAGCAGCCCCGCAGCCAGGAGCTGGCCTGGCACTATGATAGGCTTTGGCATTGTCCTGTTGAACATAAACTATTTTACGGAAAATCATCAGACAAGGCCACACTGACTGAATCAAGCCAACAATGGGAGGGCGGCCACAGAGTCTGTGAAGCTGCCCCAGGAACCGGAGCTGTCATATCCCCTCCTTTTCCACTTCCCGTTGCAACCAATAAAGGCATTTGTCCCGTTTTAGGTGGGGAAAAAAGACAAGATCATGCCATAATTGCATCTGAACACAGAAAAAACATTAATATTGTCCAAGCCACAAAAATGACCAAATACCTCGTCCGGGGTAATATGAGTGGTGACTGCTGGTTTACCAGTCACAGCTTGTGCCCTGCTTGTTCCTCTGCCTTCTAGGTAAGATTTCTTAAGATAGCCAACCAGAGTTGCCCTGATTCCTGGCACCATCCAATCCAGAGCAAAAACCTCCCCAAAATCACCCACCACAAACTCCAATCCTATAAGCAGTTGGTGCCCCCGCAGTGTGTGTGCTTCCTCAGTGCAGTGAGCAATAAACCAACTTGTGGACTACAGGTGTGTTCCTGGGGGTCTTGGGCTGGAGGGCATTGACTCTGGCTGTCACCGTTACAAATACTTAACCTCTCTTTGCCTCAGTTCCCTCAACTGAAAGTGATAACGAATTTCATAGGCTCTGTGAGGACTGGATGGGATAACGGGCGCTAATGGCCTAACACAGTGGTCGGCAAACTGCGGCTCGAGAGCCACATGCGGCTCTTTGGCCCCTTGAGCGTGGCTCTTCCACAAAATACCACGTGCGGGCGCGCATGTACAGTGCGATCGAAACTTCGTGGCCCATGCACAGAAGTCGGTTTTCGGCCTGGGCGAGTCTGTTTTGAAGAAGTACTGTTGATATTTGGCTCTGTTGACTAATGAGTTTGCCGACCACTGGCCTAACACACAGTAGGCATTCAGCAGGAGCTGTTGCTATTATGTCAAACTGGCTACTTTCATTACCCTCAAGTTTTCATCTTTTCTGCTGCTAACCTACATAACACCCCTTTGTGGTGAGCAGAGGTGAGTAATGGCAGACTTTTTTCACAGATGGGGAGACCACGTCCCAAGTGGCACTGCAAGTCTGCCCAGAGTTGGAACTGGAGCCTGGGGTTCCTCTCCGTCTCTGTTGTATCCCAGCCACATCTCCCATCTCAAGCCTCTCTGGATGCCACTGTGTCCCTCTGAACTGCATCCCATTCATACTTGTGTGGACAGAGCAGGGTGGGTACATCTGAGCGTAATAAGGACAAGGTTGGGGAGTGGCAGTTCCTGGTAGGGCTAGCTCCCCAACAGGCAAGTCCCTACAGCGCCTTGGCCATTGAAATGCCATAGAAATCCTTTTAGCATCAGTTCCTGCACCCCACCCTCTGGCCAGCGGTACTCACGGATGTCGCCTTCTGCACTGCGGGGACTCCTCTTTTGCCGAATCCAGCTGCTCCATGGTCTCTTCGGGAAGCGGGTCCTCCATGGTGACTAGGACCCCTCTGGTCAAGAGAGGAGCACGCATGACAGAACAGGAAATCAAAAGACGCGGCTCATCTGTCACCAGCCTGAGAGCCCACTAATCCTATGACCTTGCCAGCCTTTGACCCCGTGAGATACCATCTCCTTGAACTCTAACCTGATGGAGCTCTCACTAGAGAAACGTCAACACCCCCCCCCCCCCCCCGCAAAGATTCGACTCCTGGGTTTGTGACTCCCCTTAGAGCCATCCCACCTGTGTGAGACCCAAGACCGACAGCAACTAGCTCCGTAAACTCAGGGCGCGGAACCCTTGATCTGACACCATCCTTGTCCCCGTCTCTCCCACATTCCTGAGGCAGGTGGTGGTGCCCACGCTTTAGCCCGCTTCTTCCCGGTAGACAGCCTTCTCCGACATCCTGACACTCTTGTTCCACCCCGAGCCCCCGCCTCCGCGCGCTTCAGCTGGGGGTCCCGCAGCCTCGAGCACCGCCCTCGGCGCGCCCCTCCCCACGTGGGCAGCCCCCGCCTCTGCTTTGCTCCAAGCAGCAGAAAGGCTGCCTTTCGTTGCGCCTGTCAGTGGCTCGTCACAGCGCCGCCCCCCGCAGGGAAGCCGGGTGGGGCCGGCCGAGTCTCTGGGTCCCCGTGATTTCCACGTTCTTTCGCCTGATGAGTCTGTCGAGGCCGAGATCCTGGATTGCCATCCGGCAGTGATGCAGTCGTGCCACTCGGTCCTGAAAATAGCAGAAAGGGTCCTTCCCTGCACCCGGGTGCGGCCTGATGACGCTGTGAGCCACCCGAGCCGCACGGACCTAAGTCACTGCGCAGGTGTGGCCGGCGCTCCTGGCGCCGCGGAGGGCTGTATCCCAGAGATCACACTTCCATGGCACCGCCTCCTACAAGGAGTGACGTCAGGTCAGAGCTCCCCGAACACGTCCGGAGGTCCCCAAACCCCGGCGCTCCAGCCGCCTCAGGCCCGGGCCGTCCAACTTCTCAGCGACGGACCGGCCACCGGCGACAGCGCGACCATACCCTCCGGCTGTTTGCTCGGTTGGTGATTGGGAAGGGAGGGATGAGGGATTAACAATAAACGTGTCCCTGCGGGAGGAGGAGGGCTGGAGGCCGGATTTCTGAGTTTTTGAAATAGAAAGGGAAACGCATCCATCAAGAGGACCAGAGAGGACTCCGGGTCCCTGGGGAGTAGGGTCTCGGCGCTGGATTTCTGGGTCCCTGGGCGTGATCCCCGAGAATGGAAGAAGGGACAGGGTGGAGGACTGAAGTCTAGGGCCAGAGTGGGATTACAGCCAAGAACACGGCCGGGTGCCCCCTGACCCCCGGCTTCCCCGTCGCTTGCTTTCCAGCTATGCCTCTACCGCGGGGTGACGTCACCGCCCTGTTCCTGGGGCCCCCGGGCGCGGGGAAGTCGGCGCTGGTTGCCGCGCTGTGCAACAAGGACGTGGAGGTGGTGGAGATCCCCGACGGGCGGCCAGACCCCGCACTCCCCAGCCTGCGAGCTGCGGGCCCAGGCCTCTTCCTGGGTGAGCTGAGTTGCCCACCCGCTGCGCCCGGGCCCTGGGCAGCGGAGGCGAACGTGTTGGTCTTGGTGCTGCCCAGCCCGGAGGGGAACGACGAGCCCTTGGCCCCAGCGCTGGGGGAGGCAGCGCGGGCCGCACTGGCCCGAGGAACCCCGCTGCTGGCTGTGCGGAACCTCCGACCCGGGGATCCACAGAATGAAGCCCAGGCCCGCGATCAGACAGCGGCCCTCCTGGACAGCGCTGGGTTGGGAGCTGTGCCTGTCTATGTGCTGCAGGCGGACTGCGACGGCTGCGAGGAGCTGGAGCGCCTGCGGGCGGCGCTGCGGAGCCAGGCGGAGGCACTGCAGAGGTGAGTCCGGCGTTTCGGGGTGGGTTGGGGAGGCCTGGTCTTTTAATACAGACCTCACCCCAGAGGTGCTCTTTAAGTCTTCCAGACCCTGCCCTCAGCGAGTTTGCAGCAAGCCTTAACGCAAAACTGCTCCCAAATCCAAGAATCCAGGCCCCGTCCCTCAGCGATGCTCCAATCCAGCAAGCGGCTCTGCTTGACCCTCTTTTGTTAGATAGGCCCCGCCCTAGCCGGGGGCCAGCAAGAGCTCAGGACCTGTCATCCAGGTCCCGCCTGCTGAGTGCTCTGAGGTCACAAGCCCCTCTCCCTAATAGGAATTCTAGAAGAGGCCGGGACCTATCCCCCAAATACTGCCCCCATGCAAAAGTGTGAAGAAGGGCTCACTCTTCCACACAAGCTAGTGATCCTCACAAAGATTTTACCTGAAGGCTTGCAGTCTCAAATCTTCCTCATCCTCCCCATCTTCATCGTTCTCAAGTGACCCCAGTTGCCCTAAAGCCACACCCTCAGGGAGCTTCATTATTTCTGGGTACCCTCCCCCATTGCCATTCTTTAATCTCCTCTCATTTTTGTGCCCACTTGCTGGCTGCCCTCCTGAATTTTCTCCGCCAGCTGCCTCTGGCTTAGGGAGGGGCGGCCTCTCCTCCAGTCCCACTGCTCCTCTATTTTCCTTAGCCACGTCCCCCTGGTAAGAACTAGTAGGTGAGATTTCTCCCTGGTCTTTCCTCCTGTCCTTACACCCAGTGTCAGGAAAGAGCCCTCTTGGTGACCTTGCCCATTTCGAATAGTGAATAGAGCTACACTTTCATTTAGTCCACAATACAGTGCTCATTCTGTCTTTGCTCCAAGCCCTGCCTGCCCAGTGTTTTGCCCCACCCAGCACAGCCTTTTCTTACCCTTGCAGGTCCCTAGGAAAAGCCTCACCCCAAAGACTCTATGCTGGGGAAGACTTAGCTGGGTCTGGTTTTCGGAAACCTAAGCTTATTCAAGCCACCCCATCCCTGCTTTAAACCTCTCCCTTTTCATCTTAGCCCTGGTTTCTATTTGCTGAGACATCAACTGGCCCCCTCCCTCGCCTCCTCACTCAAGGTTATTCAGAAAGTTCCACATTTGTCATCATAGCCCAGTCCTGTCCCCTAGCCCAGCCCTCTTCTGCCTTTGATCCTATCCCTTCCTGTCCCCACAGGCTCCTGCCACCGGCTCAGGATGGCTTCGAGGTGCTGGGAGCAGCTGAGCTAGAGGCTGTACGAGAGGCCTTCGAAAAGGGTGGCCTGGAGGCGGCGCTCTCCTGGGTTCGTGCTGGCCTGGAGCGACTGGGTAGCGCCCGGCTGGACCTGGCCATAGCCGGCACTGCTGACACGGGCTTTGTGCTGGACATGCTGCTTGGGCTGGACACCGGGGACCCAGGTGCTGTGCCTGCTTCGGCGCCCACTGGGCCCACACCCTACCCGGCCCCGGAGCGCCCCAATGTGGTGCTCTGGACCATCCCTCTGGGCTCCGCGACTACTGCTGCCGCCCCCCACCCAACCCACTACGACGCCCTCATCCTGGTCACCCCTGGAGCCCCCACTGAGGAGGATTGGGCCCAAGTCCGGCCCTTGGTGCTACCGGATGCCCCGTTGGTCTGTGTGCGAATAGACGGTGAGGGCGAGGATCCAGAGCCTCTGGAAGAAGAGGAAAAAGCAGAGAAGCCCAGCAGGGAGAGCTTAGAGGACGCAGAAGGAGGGGGGTTGGAGGAGGCACGCAGCGAGGGACGGGACAAACGTGGCGCTGGGTCGCAGCAGGCTGGCGTCAACGCGAAGCAATCGGGCAGGGGGGACTCTGAGCGCGCGGCTGCCTGGAGCCCTGAGGACGAGACGTGGGAGGTGCTGGAGGAGGCGCTGCCGCCAGTGTTCCCCTTGCAGAGGGGCGGACTCCCTGGGCTCTGGGTGTGGCTG